AAGAACTTGAGAACCAGTTCAGTTTTCAGGCAGAAAACAAACTCTCAAAAACAATGAACGGCACTAGAATCTGAAATCCACAAGTACGTGCTACAGTTTCTACGGAAACATAATTTATTTCTGTAATATCGTCTCCATTGGTATCAGCATAACCATCGTGACACTAATTTGCTTGCAAATTGTTAAGTTTTAATACATTTGGCCTGATTATTTGCAGAAACGCAGCAAGAACAGCGATTGATTATATAGCCTCTTTTAAATCTGCTCTGCTGGGACTTTTCATAAGAAATTTCAGATCGAACTTTTAAAGGCCGGGCCAAGGACTTTCCATCAAACTGCCTGCAAGTCCTGTGGACTATTCATTTAATCGAAGTGACCAAGATTTTGCATGGCAAATATAGAAAATTCAATAGTCGTGAGCAAAACCAATCAATGACCAGAAAAACACAGGAAATTATCTTGGCAAAACATAAAATCTTTGCTGTGGGTCTCCCCCCACCCTCCAGCAGATTTAAGTAAAGAAAAAAATACTTTAATATAATCTCTTCTTGGGAGCAGACCAATAGCTCAAGAAAAGTCTGTCTTTCCAGTAGATGAAATCCAGTGAAGCAGCCGTTTTCCCGCGGGAAATGTGAATCTGGGAGTCCGTTTCCTTGGCCGGGGTGCACGGCGGGGCCGGGGGACCTTCCCAGCAAGGCCGTGCGGGGTCCCTGTGGCAGTGTCCCCCGTAGGGCGCACGGTCTCCGGGCTGGAGCTCCCGAGGCGGACGGTCACTCTCTTCGTCCAGAGCAATGATCATAAAATGGAAAAGGCTGAGAATTTTACAAAATCAAGATTAAATTTCCCCTGAAGACGTACTTGTCAGAATCTCTCGGAAATTGTAACACAACATCAGAATGTTCATTAATAACCGCGTGGGCACCAGTGAAAATGAATAGAAATGACAACAACACAGAACTCGTGTGACTTCTCATACCCGGAAACGGACAAAATGCCTGGGGTCTGAACGACGTAACGGGCTTGTTGCCATGGCTCAAGGCTGCGGAATATTCCCTGGTGCTGTTATGTGCTTATCCGCAAGGTCAGCTGCAGTGACTTCTCCAGGGAAATATTTGCAATGAGCTCCTGTGTGTTCCAACCGCTGGTTGTATTGTACTCACTGACACGGCATGTGTTAGCTAAGACTACGACATGGTTAGTTCCAGATCCAGATTTTTGCCGTGTCCAGGCAGCAGCCTTGAGTACAAATGCACCTTGGTGAACTTCTGTACAGTTATGGCAACTCTTAGTTCTGGCAAGACTGAGTTAATCTCATTTTCGATTGTTGCCGTCAAATGTCCCTCCAGCCGTCACTCGGATCATTTTTGTCAGGAAATCTGCTAACTGGTTATGGTTGTTTAATGTGAAAAAATGTACTTCTGCATGAACGGGTTAGCCAGGAAACTTGCTACCTGAATTTACTGTTCGTACACAACTCCCCAGACTTTGCGATGCGCATGGCACCCGGGCCCCTTAGTTCACAGGGTTTGGACACATGGGGACATTCTACATCTATCGATCCTCATTTACCCAGCAGCCGAAACATTTCCACAGAGAGACATTTCTCCTACTTATTTCCCACCGCCAAGGTCTAGAGCGGAAAGGCGTGATCTCGCGTTCTCGCTCGAGCTTTGACGGACCCTTGGTCTTCATTGTTTCCTCGAAAACCGTCCTGGGAAGAGTCGCCTTTAAGGTGCCTCTCACCAAACCCATTAGCAAGTCCACGCAGCTGCGGGCACCCCCGGGGGTCCTCGATCCCGCCCTTTACCCCCCTCCTCCGAGACGCCACGTCGTCCCGCCGGACAGGGCTGTGCGTCAGGCGGCCGCGCGTGTGCTGTGTCTCCTTAGCCCAGTCCTGGATTTCCGCCTTCGCGAAGATCAGGTAGAGAATTAGGCTCGTCACGTTAATGGCTGCCATCAGGAAGAAGATCTTGAACCAGGAGGATTCCGGGTCCTGAGGGATGAGAGCACAGAGCGGTCACAGGCGCTCGGACCCGCCTCTGGGCTTGTGACGTTCTGCATCTAACATCGCCACAGGCTCGGCACGGGGGGCCCAGCACACGTGGGGAGAAACACGGAGGGAGCAAAAAAGGCAAAATTTCACCCTGCGGAGAGAAGCTCCGTTTGTCTCTCTACGTTTTGCTCTACGTCTACGCGGCTACGAGTTCTCCTCCGTGGAGACGATGCTGTGATGTGCATCACGCTCGGGCCAGGAACGCGCTTGGCTTTTCACGCAGAAATGAACGATGCGGTCATTCGACGCGTGACGCCGCTGAGCCGGCTCCGGGCTCCTCCCGCCCGCACCTGGGGACCTCTCTCCCTCTTCAGTTCTCTGGTGCTTCAGAGAAGACGCTCTCTGTATTTTGCAGGCTTTGTCGTTGTCTTTATTTAG